ACATTGAATCGAAGAACCAAAACGTAATGTAAACCTCTTTGTAGGTCACTAATCAAAAAAGGAAATTTGTGATACATAATAAATAATGAGACCTTCTGAAATTCATGAATACTGTTGATAATATAAGATGTATAAAATGTACTACATTAGAAAAAAAATAGAAACCTTCTTTATTAGTGGTCTCAGACTTGTGGTTCTTATTCTATAACCTCACTGTAGTACACAGACTGTAGCTTGTAAACTCAAAATACAGAATTATTTTCCTCATACATATGTCTAATATTAAGCAAGTGTTACTTGATACTGAGAAAAGTACATCATTCAACAAAACTACATTAGTTATTAATGATATATTTGTTAGATAGTGTGTACATTTTGCATTTTGAATGCCATCTTACATATCTTCAAGCATGAAAAGTTCACCAAGCACTGGTTATCTTTATGTTATTATGTGTTTGAAAGGCATGAATGTATGGTAGCAGGCTAGCAGCTACAATTGCAATATGTTAATAGTTTCAATTACAGTATTAAGTTAGATACATGTGAATAATGTATAGTAATATTTTGAGTATAGGCCTTAGAAATTAATGACATCATTTATTATTTATCATACAAAAATAAGAAAAAATGTATCTACAAATAAATTGAACTTGTAGACATTTTATGGACTAATTCTGTTTGAATATAATGCAACAAATGAAGCCATAATCCCCCTTCAAAAAAAAAAAGGAAATTCACAATTATCAAATATTATTATATATAAACTTGTGTATATATCTAAGTTCTAGAAAAATACTGAAACAATACTGAAGACAAAAGTGTAACAGGAAATGTTTGTGATGTCAGCACAACTACTCAGCGATGACTGGTAATGCTGTGTTAAATGGGTCAGAGCTATAAGACTCCCGGGACACACGGGATAAACACACACACACACTTAAAATAGACTCTCAGTCATATGTGGGAATTGATGTCAGCAGAGGGTCAAACTCAGCGTCTGTTCCACACACACTCCCATCAATAATATCTGTAGCCTAACTGATTGATAATGGTGCTCGTAACAGCAAGATCATGGGTTCAACTTCCAGGAAATGTAAGTCATTTTGGATAGTGGTGATTTGCAATGTGAAACTCCAAAAAGGACAGAAAAGCACTGTAAAAGCATTGTAAATGCAGCCCATAGGACTCTATATTTCAAGAGGCGATAGCTTTGTGTGATGAACAGTCCAATATTTAAGTCATTACGCACAGAAAATCTTGTCCTCTGAAACGCTTAAATCTCAATCATGTTCAATTCAATTCAAACTTGGGTTCAATTTTTAAAAAAGTTGGCTTTAGACATGTCATGCCAAGTCTTACTTCAGAAGACCTATTGTTGTTATCAGGTATCTTATTACATCCTGTAGCTCAAGCAGTAGAGAAGGACAATGCCAAAGTCATGGGTTCAATTCCCAGGGAATGCGTGAACTGAAAAGATACATGCTCTTTTCAGTTTGTAGACGTTCCAGTCAAGCAGATACAGCTCTTATGTTAAATGGAGAATCAACAAAATCTCCCAAAATTTTGATCAAGATTCAGTACAAGATACAGTTCAATAAATATATCAAATCTGTAATAAAATTGCATAATAATTAGAGGTCAACCAATAGTGGATTATACCAATAATGATAACTAGGTTGGATGCAACCCGCAAAAGCAATGGGTTATCATGCCGATTAATCGGCAACAACAAGAATGGTATCGGCCTCTAGTAATAATGCTTTCATAAAAATCTTTGGCACAAATCACATAAAAGCTGTGATCTGGTCCAGCAAATGTCATGCATGTTCAAGAGTGAACAAACTCTAGATTGTTTGACAAGACTTCCATTCATAACAACTACAAAGTTCTACCACGCTGTAATTTCTAGCATTCAAAATTCTCCCATTCACATATGTGTGCTACATCTCTGAAAGGAAACACATCAGAGCTCACAGACATGACTATAATTCTGCTTCACCTGATGCTCTAGCAGTTTTCCTCGGTAATCCTTTTCCTGCTTCATATTTTATATCTCTCTCCCATTCATTTTCCTGTAGCTTGTGTGTGCTGTCTCACTCCCTCTGCAGAGCTCATGTGTGGGTTCTCCTGCGTGTGGGAGTCTGCTGACAGTGGCACGCTTAGGGTTATATAACAGCTGATTGTGTGTTGTTCACTAATGACCTTCAGTTGCTGTTCATATGTCATTCCAGTGTTTACTGTCGCTGTGATGGACACAATGATCATATCCCCCCACACACGCATGTTTTAATTGTCTTTACTGTCATGGAAGAAACTGCTTATTGATATGCTTACTGCTTACTTTCCATAACACCCGATGTACTTGCTACATCACTAGAAGAATGGCATCTACGCTAATATTAGTCTGTTTTCTCTCTTATTCCGAGGTCACTGCAGCCACCAGATCCAGTCTGTATCCAGATCAGATGGTCACTGCAGTCACCCGGATCCAGTACGTATCCAGACCAGATGGTGGATCAGCACCTAGAGAGGACCTCTACAGCCCTGAAAGTCAGCAGAGACCAGGACAACTAGATGAGCCCCAGACACAGATCCCCAGTAAAGAACTTGTCTCAGACGGCCACCGGGACAAGACCACAGGAGTCAGTTGAGTCCTCTGCACAATGTGACTTTGCTGCAGCCTGGAATTGAACTGCTGGTTTCATCTGGCCAGAGGAGAACTGGCCCCCCGACTGAGCCTGGTTTCTCCCAAGGTTTTTTCTCCATTCTGTCACCAATGGAGTTTTGGTTCCTTGCCGCTGTCGCCTCTGGCTTGCTTAGTTGGGGACACTTAATTTCCAGCGATATCGTTGACTTGATTGCACAGATACTATTTAAACTGAACTGAGCTGGATGATGACATCACTGAATTCAATGATGAACTGCCTTTAACTGAAAAATGAGTTTACTATTATCACTTTGCATTATTGACACACTATTTTCCTAATTAATGCTGTACAGTTGCTTTGACACAATCTGTATTGTTAAAAGCGCTATATAAATAAAGGTGACTTGACTTGACTTGATATCTATTGTTTTTACACTGAGCTAATTATATTGTCTATACCTCTAATTCTTACAGACACATTGCATTTAACATTTTATGCATTTGGCAGATGTATTTTTTTTTAATCCAGAGCAAATCAAAGGATATTCTAGCCAAGGTATATATTTTCTCAGTATGTGTCTTCCATATATGCTTTCACGCTTCAAAAATGGCATAAAAGCAATAAATGAAGTAGTCCATGTGAGTCATGTACTAAAGTCTTCAGAAGCCATACAAAATGTTTCAGTCATTATTCACTGAAAATACTGAGAACAGTCTAAGCTCTCTTTAGCCATTCATGAGAGAAGTGATGTCCTATTTGTGAATGAATCATGCAGTCGGATCTCTTCAGTGAATCAGTTGATCCAGTTCACAAAACAGATACATTTTCTGAATCAGATTCAGTTTTCAGCAGTTCACTGTTTATCAGTGATAATACGTTGAATTTGGTTTGTTCCTCACAATGAAGACTTCAGAAGGCTTTCTATGTAGTCGTGTGGATGACTTTTATCATATTTTATGCTGCTTTTTTACATCTTTTTATAAAGTTGAAAAAGCTTCGGTTTCTATTTCTTCAGCAGAATAAAGTCGGATTAACATGACAAGCTTAATTTTTGGCTGAACTATTCCTTTAACGAAGACATTATTTAGTTCCGTTAGGAAGCAGTTTTTCTCATGGGAACTACAGCAAGCACATTTTGTACCTAATGTAGGTGTTTTAAGCTTTACTATCATAGTGCTGACATTCCGTCGCATAAAAAGATAGCAAATGCTCACTCATAACAACATCCATACACAAGTATCTAAAAGATTATTAGCTCACACACATACACACACTCAGGGTGATCAGGCTAAGCAGTCTAAAATGGGTAAAAATTGTAATTAGTTTGCACCAATTGTGTTTGTTTGTGTGAACAAGCCTTAAACAATGTGGTAAAATGACCACATGAGTGTGTCTCTTTCATTAAACCAACTACATAAATACAATCCCACTGTCAAGATACAGAGAAAAAATTGTGGCCATTCACAAAACTGAAGACTATAACATCTAACATAGTTTACCTACATGAGAACGCACTGAGACCTTCGAGAACAAACAAAAGTGTTGAATCATTACTGAGCCCTGGATTTAAATTGAAACACAATATTTATAATAAAGAAAATTCTTCTTCAAAACTCATATATCGGCTATTTTACAGTGGCTTTAAGTATGGCTCATCCAATAAGAATACAGAGTTAGAACTAATGTAAGAATTGTGTATGTAATGAATGTTTATATAAAATGTTTGACCTCTGAAACAGAATTTCAGGGACATTTTTATGAAGGTATTTTTCATCCATGAAAATCTCATCAATTTAGGACAAAAGCTCTAGTGAATTAATTAAATGAAATTCTGAACAAATCTTTTTTAAAAAAAGACAGCCCTAGAATAAAATGTCATGAAATATATCAAGCATTATAAAACCAACCTTAAGGAATTCAGTATGGTGGCATTTTTTCCCCACAAACTGTTAAATATCAAGTGCATTTTTTTGTCATTTCCAGTATCAGTTTTTTGTACTTTTAATTAATTTTTCACCCTGGCCAGAAGTATTTTTTAGAATAATGGTCATTATAGTAAAGGCTTCATAAATCATACAAATTAAAATAAACTGTGGAAGTATGCTATAGTGCTACTATTAAACTTCTCAGCACATTGTCATTTGGGTCAGGTATTGAAAAGTATTGTATCATACCGCTGTAAATTTTTGACATGGTATACAACGCATGCTGGACCCACTATTACTACTGCATAACCTGTAGGTATGAATGAAATGCTGTACATATACATAAAGGGCATCCCAACTTTTGTTCAGCTTTATATTCCATATAGCATACACAGAATACAAGCACAGACATCCCTCCAGTACTTACGTAGGAAGTGTTTCTCCAGTAAGGCAATTTCCAAATGGCCCTTGACCTCATTGAGACGTTCCGATTCACTCCTCAGGTCTTGCATGACAGACAAAGTCCCCAAACCAGCCTAGAAAAAACACACAGGGTTATTGACAGATAAGAACCTAAAACAAACCACACACAAACTATAGTCTCTCCAAGCTGTGACTTACAGAATACCAGTCCTCTCTATGGTGTCTTCCTCCTGTTTTAGTTAGATAAGCCTCAAACTGGAGGCCGGTCTCAATGACAAACGTAGACTGTAATATTCTGACTCACTGATAGCACGACATGAACCTGCTCTGACTCCATCCCGCCCCGCACACACACACAGGCTGAAAGAACGCAAGATCTGCAGAAAGACGAGCCGCAGTGAGAGAGAGACAGAGAAAGTAGGTGAGTGAGAGATTAGGAGAGAGGGCGGCACTGCAGAGAGAGACAGAAAAGCAGAGCTATCTCTTTAAGAGGCCAATGCGACTGACAGTGCAGGCATGCTCTCTTCTCTGACACACACACACACACACACACACGTTTGGTGTCATAGCATTAAAGCTCTGACGGTAAAATGCTTGCTTCACGCAATTTGCAGCAGAATTACACCCAAGCTGATGAGACACATACATAAACACATAAGCAACAGTAGGGGAAATAGAAAATGTGATAGCAAATTAGGGATGCACGTGGAAGAGAAATGAAGGCAATGAGAAAAAAAGTTAAAAAAAAAATAAGAATTTAAGCAACAAAGTAGCTTGATCATGGGCGCTTAGTTCTGGGCTGCGTTTCCCAAAAGCATCGTATAAGTTGATCGTAGCTCCATTGGTTTCAATGGGTCTACAATGTACTTAAGCAGCCCTGGGCTACAGGTTTTTATGAGCCAATCACGTGCGCCATAAATGTCATGTGACCAATCACAGTGGAGCCACAGGAACTCTTAAAACATCATACATAATAGCATAATAATGCTAATTAAACTACGGGGCTGTTGAATGCTTGAATCTGATTGGTTGACGAACATTCTAAGGTGTGCAGTTATTTTCAGGGAAACGCATGACTAAAGTAGTTCCAGGAAGGTCTTTGAATGCTTGAATCTGATTGGTTGACGAACATTCTAAGGTGTGCAATTATTTTCAGGGAAACACACGGCTTAAGTAGTTCCAGGCAGGGCTCAACCGCATTACACGTCCATAACACTTCACCAAATGATTTCAGCTATTTCAAAGGTCCTTACAGCTTACAACGGCAAAAGAACCAAAACCCACAACGACAGGATCTGAGCAAATAACAAGAAGTTAAAACTCCAACAAGTTGACTCCAGTCCGTTGAATTATTAGAAAATAATGCTAAATAAACAATGGCTGCATCACCACCTCAAGTGTGCATATTTCCAAATAATTAAATGGACTGTAGTCAATTATTCCTTACTTAATGCATTAACTAATGTTAACTAATGGGATACTTATTGTAAAGTGTTACTCATGAATCAGTATCAATCAGAATACCGCCAAATTCCGAATCATATATCGATATACTGTACATGTAATCGTAGTCAACAGCTATGTTTCCATCACGCTATTTTAATGCGCATTTTGAAGTATCGCATGAGAAATGAGTGATGGAAAAGCCAAATTTCAAATAAAAATCCCTTAATTCGACAAAAAGTTTTTACGCTCGCTTGAGCTGGTTTTTGACTTGTGCGAAAAAGGGTTAATGCAAATAATGGGAGATGGAAATGCATTTTGTGAATAAATTCCTACAAGCGCATCAAAAAAGTCATGTGACTTTGTGCTATGGGGCAGCAAAACATATGGACCGATATCATTCCACAGCATCTGAAATGTTGTTATGGCCATTCGGAAATGCCCGAGCAAAGTCTGTCATCAAAGTATCTCTGTTTAATTGCCTACCAGAAATGTCTTACACGACTGCGTTCCCAAACAGCAGCATCCACCTCCGAAAGCAATGACCGCATTCATTGTGTTTCGTCTGCTTGCTCTGAGGCACAGGTAATTTATTATATATGAAAATTATTATATTCAGTATATTCTCCTACTTTTATTAGTGATTTATAGTGCCAGATTATCAGGAAGTGACAATTTTGTTCTCTTTGACTCGTTGGATGGAAATGGTGCTTGTTCGCAAATGTTTTATGCGATATTCCAATTTTGCGCATAAGTTAAATTCGCAACTTTGGATGGAAACCCGGCTATTCTGATGATAGTCTCAGCCTCAAATGTCACGCCCACAGACTGCTGGCTGAACATCTGATGCATATCGTACACAAAATTGGAAACACTTCAGGGGTTTAAAAGACATCATTGGATTATAATAATAATTATAATAATAATTCCATATATTTATATAGCACTTTTCTGGGCACTCAAAGTGCTTTACACAGAAGGGGAGAATCTCCTCAACCACCACCAGTGTGCAGCATCCACCTAGATGATGCGACGGCAGCCACAGGACAACGGTGCAGTGCGCTCACCACACACCAGCTACAGGTGGAGAGGAGGGGGCGAGGCCATGCTGCGCTGCTTTAGAGGACGGTGCTTTTTGACAGTATAGTGTCCCCATCACTATATTCTTCAGTGGGCAATCAGTCTTCCCTGACCCTTGGGCTGCAGGGTGATATGGCTGCTGGCAATATTATAGATTGTAGATTGGTTGAATTATACAGGATTTCCATGTCGCTTTCTTTAACGCAGAGGTCCCCAACCACCGGGTCACGACCCACTACTGGGCCATGGAAGAATTGCTACCGGGTCACAAGAATGTTCTGGGAAAAATGTGTATAGATAGGCTTATGTGCGGGTGATCAGAACTCAGGTGACTGTGATCGGGTAATTATCCTGGATGGTGACTGAAGTGACTGTGATGAATCCTTGACAATATGACACTACAGTATATTATTTATTGCGCGGTAATGATTGTTCTAATTATTCTGTATTTTCGTTGTATGCGATTGATATGGAGTAGCAATTTGACTATTTCATGTTAAATTAGTAAATGAAAGATTGTTCTTAGGGGTTAAATGGAGTGCAGTTGATCCGTGATTCGTACAGAACAGACCCCACTGTTCGGCACACATCTGATTTGCAGGTTAATTAGCTAAACCACAAGACGAAACTAAACGAAATGAAAGATAACTTCATTACTCGCATGCTGTTCTTGCACACACTCGGCGTGCACAAGCATAGAGTCGTGTTTTAGACAGCGCGTGAATGATTCCTCTTTCACGTCTCCCTGCATTTAAGATACATACACATTAACAACGCCGTTTGCTTCCGTTACTTGATCTTTTTATTTTGGTGCGTCAATCTATTAAGTTACTTAGTATAGGAAATTATGATCCGCACTCACGAGTAACAGTGTTCTTTTTTCGCTTTATTTTACATTCATTACTGATGGGAAAAGACACAAACGTTTCGGACCGAAACGTTAGAGATTATAGATACATACACATAAAATTATATCAAAAACCCTTCACGGCATTGTCATTCTCTGTGCTTTAATTTTTTTCTTTGTTTCTTGCTTATCCAAAAATAACCCCAACCCGTGATGCCGTGACCCCCTCATGAAAGAATGACAGACATTGTGTTTACACCTGTGACGAAACTTATATATTTTTATTTCTTATTTACTTGTTCTGTTTTTTATTTTTTTATTCTTCTTTTATTATCTGTGTTTTTGTACTGTCGCTGTCATTGTGTTGCACTGCGGAAGCTTCCGTCATGAAAACAAATTCCTCGTATGTGAAAGCATAACTGGCAATAAAGCTCATTCTGATTCTGATTCTGATGACCATTTATAAGGATCAACTAAATGCTGGATTTTAAAAAGTATGTGAAATATTTAAAGTTTGTGGCATAGAAAGAGTTATACACACCAGTCTGTTATTGTGGGGACATTTCCATGCCTCTAAACATGACGTGGCACAAAACGAAACATGATTGGTTGCTTTACTTGTTAGTCATATGGCCACTTGGGCGGGCCTTAGCCATTCAAATATGCCAAGGTTCCCAGACCTTCTGCTGTCAGTCTGAAGGTCTGGCTACACGAGACTAATGTGAGTATGCCAACAAAGTGGCATACTCCAGTTTTAAATACAATTTAAAAAGAACGGTAAATTCTTGATTTCCAACTATCTACTGTAATCTGCATCTTGCACCTCTGCGACACAAAACAAAGTGTCCTGAAACAGAATATGTCAGAAGGTTTATCAGTAGAGCATGAAAGCGGCAGTTTCCAGCAGAGAGACTGTAAGACAACTGGCTCTTATAAACGAGATAATCAGTCAATCAAACCCCTGCTTGTGTGAAAAACTGATCTCATTACCTTCAGCCTTCAGGGACTCATCAGTGCATGAATCTAAAAGTTAAAAGTGCTGCAATGACACAGTCTAAACTACATGGATTTACAAGTGCATGGATATAAACTATCGGACAAGAGTTATGTTGGCTCCATGTGTGTCTGTGTTTGTATGTGTGCGCCAGAGCTATTTGGATCAGCATGTGAGCGATGACTCACTCCTCACTGCTGTCTAAACGTCATCTCTGTTAGCAGGCTGTTGCATTCAACACTAAAGCTGCCCGCGATGCAGGAAATTACCAATGCAAACACATGCAAACAGAGTGGCAAGACTGGTCAGCTTTTTAGTGTGTGCACAAAGTTAGGTTACACACTTCCTAAAGCCATCGCAGAAGTATACTGCTTTTTAGCTCTTCAAAATATTTTATTTGCCAAAACACAATTATGTAGGATGGACCTCAAGGTCTGTGGAAACCATTTTCACATCACCCCACTCATTTTTAAAATCTGAGCCTTATGGACAAGACAAAACGTTTTATGCCACCTCTGAGCAGCATTAAACAGTCTGAGGAAAGACTTAATTTAAAGACTTAACTTAAAAAGACTTTAAAAACATATTTAAATTCAAATTTTGGAATATTGCATACAAATTCTGAATGGAAACACCAGAATGTGTGAATACATTTTTCAAAAGCTGCATTAAAAAACTGAGCTTCATACCATTTTTTTTTATTCGGTATGAAAATGTGCAATAAATACAATGGAAACTTGTGAGGAAAT